GCTGGCTGGCTGGCTGGCTGGCTGGCTGGCTTGCTTGCTTATTTATTTATTTGTTTATTTATTTGTTTATTTTATTGCCTCACAGACATGCTTATTAGTCAATGAAACAAACAAGATTTCATATTTAATGGCACTGAAAATAAGAGTATCACAGGTCATATGCATTTACCAAGATAGAAATGAAGCACTGTAGGGTCTCTGCCATCCAAGTTGGAAATAAGAAAAATCTATAGGTTGTTCTTTACAGTTAATTAAGCATCTACAAGTGTACTTTTTCTCAAGAAAATCAATTCCCATGCCCTATGAAAAGCTGTTCAGCAACCTATTTTTTCTCCCTATGTTGGCAAGGATTGGGAGTGGGGAAAGGAAGGGAAAGAAATGTTCATATAAGCAGTCCATTAAAAAAAGACTCACATTCTTTGGAATGGTTTTCTTGGGTAATAATGAATGAGTCAGTTTAAATACAAATGCTCCTAACTTTCTCGTTTCTGCAAGAATCATTGATTTAATTTCCTAATGACAGAAGAGTTAAGTAATAAGTTTGGGAAAGAAATGCAGGCAACCATGTGAATCCATGTGCCAAATTGATATTTCAGTAGCTCTGATAACTTATTAGGGCAATGACCATGGGACATCATAGACCAGGGTAATAAATCTTCAGATGACTAAGTTCATATTTCTCATTTCAAATCACTTTTGTCTCACCAAGTGTCAGTTTTGTTGCCTTGTTATTTTCTCCCCTTAATAGGATTAAACTAAACTAATGATATTAATATGGCAGGCAAGAAGAAAAATGACCTTTCATGAAACAGGAGTACGTATACGTACCATAAAAGAGAAGCACTCTTTCTGACGAATGAAGACATTCAACATACGGCACTGAGAACATTATTGATGGGGTGCTTCTAACTTGGACATGTAGGAATTTCAGACTAATATAGGGAGTTAGTTTTTGTGCTCTGTTTTGTCAGTGAGCATTCAGTATCCGTCTATAACTAAAAATCATATTATCAGGTTTCCTCCTCCCTGTTTCAAATTATTGGTGAGTATTGGTGGGAGAGGAGAAACTTAATCTCAGTGAGTGTTGTGCAGTAGGAAACAGGTTCTAGTCTCTAGCTATTCCTTAAGTTCAATTCTCAGCCAGCAAAATTAATTTCAGGGGAATGTGGGAGCTATAGTTCAGCAAAATCTGGAGATTCTTCAGTCTAAATATTAACAGTGGAGGCTGAGAAATTGCTAGGGTGTCTCCTGTTCCCTGAGGCAAATACAATTCCTTTAATAGCACTGAAGAACAACTTAGAGAACTGTCTTTATATTAAACATTAATATCATGTCAAAGCTGTATTCTTTATCCTTATACCCATCATCCTTCTTCAATTTTGTGGAGAAATGTTGCTTTTGCTTTTTATTTTTCCAAAGAGAACATTTTGGTGAAATTTTCATGGGTGGGTTTCTTACACTTTTTCAATGGCCAAGATGTGTCTGTGAGTGTCCTGACGCTTCTCAAATGGTCTCCAGCTCCATCCCATATTAAATCTTAGAAGAATCGTCATGAGACTTTTTCAGTTTTAAAGAGGAGACAAGCGAACAACTGTCAAGGGATGGACAGGTACAGTATGTAGTAAAATGAAAAAGAGTATCCACCATCAACATGAAATAATAAGGTAAGCTCAGTATGCAACCCAAAGACATTGTAAATCAGTGTTTCTTAAACTTGGCAACTTTAAGACATGTGGACTTCAAGTCCCAGAATTCTCCAGCCTGTCTTAAAGTTGTCAAGCTTGAGAAACACTGTCCTGCGTGTATGCTAGAAAAATAGGAGCCTCCTTTGGAACCTGGAGGACTGGTTTTGGAATGGTATTACTCAAATCAATAAAGAAAATGTATGGCTTAATCACTTCAATGATTCTATAACTAATTAAATGAGACAGAAAATGTGAAAAGAAATGCTGTGAGGGATAACAGTCTCAACAATCTCAAAGGTCATGCTGAAGAATTGTTGAATAAGATACTCTTCCAACCCACATTCTCAAAAAGAAGGGCAACTCATCCTCTCCAATCGGAAGATTGCTATTGATTATAACAAAACAAAATTACAGCACTGATAAAGTGACTGGGCTTGAATTAGGAATATATTGAACAAATATGGAACTGAATCTTGGTTGCTGAATATGACAAAAACAAAAACTGCAATCAGAATATATGGAAAGTTTAAAAGTGAGTAACACAAATATGTGTTATGTCTTCTTGATTCTTTAATCTGTTTATGAATAAACATAGAAGGAATGTTTGTAGTGCCGTTAAAGGTGCATTGGTTGTAGACATGAATATATGAAGTCCTTGGTGTTCTCTGAGTTTGGTTGTTTGATTGCAGACGTTTCATTACTCAACTCGGTAACATCATCGGTGCTTGTGAGTGTGAGGTTTGCTCTCCGTTTATACACAATAGCTTGTCCTGCCAGTGTTGGGGGTGTGGTTTTCTCCTTGGTAGTTCTTTGATTAGGATATTTTCTGCTTGATTGTTTGTCTGGTGTTAATCCCTGCTTATCTGAGTGTAAACTGCTAGAGAGGCTATGCTCTGGTCTTTTTTTTTCCTTCATTCATTTCCTTCCATGATCATTAGCCATATCATTTTTTGGCCACTTTGTTGAGCTATTTTCCATCCAGCTGTGCAGTTTATTGGAGGTTTGTATCTGACACTGGTGGGCAGGACATGCTGTTGTAGGCATTCATGTAGAAATAATAGTTGTTCCTTGGTGAAGGTTGCCTACATGCAAACTTCTCCCATTTGTTGCTTTCTGAAGCTTTCTGGATGTTCACTTCAGGCTACACAAATTCCAGCACACCATAGATAACCTCGAGGAGCAACTGGAACAAACTATGACCCCAGAACATAGAAAAAAGCTGAAACCACCATCAAGACTACATCCCTAAGACAAGCTGAAAAAAGGAAAACGAACTCCAAACTATAAATGTGGTAGAAGGAAGGGTGAACTATCAAAATAGAAAGGTGGTCACGTTAAC